GAGAGAGAGAGAGAGAGAGAGAGAGAGAGAGAGAGAGAGAGAGGAGATTTGGATTTTTCGTGATGTACGGTGTACGGTCCGTATCTCTTGGCCAAGCCGACACCTTTGTCTGTTTCCCTTAATAATCGGACAACGTTTTTGGGAGTTGAATCTCGGCCAATGTGACAGCTTTTTGTCAGTAAGCAGCAGCAGGCAAGAGCAGGCAGCAGATGACAGACAGTCAGACTTAAAGACGAGCAGCAGCAGCAGAAGCAGCAGGCGCACAAGGCAGCAGGCAAAAGCAGAACAGTAGCATCAGCAGGACGGGTTCACGTGCGTTGCTGCTGCAGGTTCTGACTGTCATGATCAGACTCTGGGAGAGGAACAGAGTTGAGAAAAGGGGAATGCCACGTGGACGATGGTCGGGCCCCTGATTGATTGAACTCATCGGGGAAGGAAAGCCTTGCTTGTGCTTCTCTCACATCCGTTCGTCGAGTCGGACGCTGCATAATACCCCAAACCTGCACAGTTGTTGCGCAAAAAATCACATCCAACAAGTGCCCGAAACCTCGGTCAGTTGAAGCTGATCAATCAACCACTCAAAGAAGTAGATTCATCAATCGATTCAATACTAATTAATCAAACACTCAGACAAACGAACCCACGAAATTTTGATGACATCACTCATCTCTCGATCCAGTTTCTGCAATGACAAATCGATTTGGGCGTGATCTACGGTGAGCATCAGCCATATCTGCCTCCATCCGCTTGGTAGTTTTGAGAGACTAATCAATCAAAACATCCAATCAGCAACAAAATGCACCTAACTACCAGCACCATGCACCTAATTAGCACCACGAAGCACCCAACTAGCAGCACCATACACCTAATTAGCACCACGGAGCACCCAATTAGCAGCGCCAAACACCTAATTAGCAGCATCAAGCACCTAATTAGCAGCGTCAAGCATTAATTAGCAGCGTCAAGCACCTCATTAGCAGCATCAAGCACCTAATTTGCAGCGTCAAACATTAATTAGGCAGCTTCAAACACGTGCTAGTTAAGACCAACCAATCAATCAAAATACCCAATTAGCAACACCATGCACCTAACTAGCAGTCTCATTAACACCACCAAGCACGTCATTAGCAGCACCAAGCACCTAATTAGCAGCACCAAGCATCTAATTAGAACCATCAATCAAGCACCTAATTAGCAACACCAAGCACCTCACTGACAACACCAATCATCTAATCAGAAGCATCAATCAAACACCAAATCAGCAAAGCACCCAGATAGTCGAACGCTCTCGCCTTACTGCTTTTCCTATTATGCCAGTACCTGATGAACCAATCACCTCTCTATATGCATATCGGATCAATGATCAATCAACGCCGAATAGCTTGCAGCGTGCCACGTGGACACCTCAGGGACGACTGAGATGTTGTTAGAGCGCCATGCTGCGCGCCATCGAAGAGTCGCACGTCGGCGAATTCAAATCACGCGATTCACCCCACTTGCTGTAGTAATGGCCTCGACACGTGGCGAATCGTGTGACATTAACGTCGTGTGGCTTCAAAAAAAAAAAAAAAAAAAAAAAAAGGGTTACCGTCTTTGCAGTCTACAGACTCTACACCCCATGACGTAGCTCTCATCTGCACAATACTCCAAGTCTGCTTGCCCTTCGAGAGCGCGGCAGACAACTTTCGCCTGCAGAGTGGTGGTTTTTTTTTTTTTTTTGCCTGCAGAGTGTTTCAACCCAGCTAGCAGTGGCCGGTGGTTTAAAAAAAAAAAAAAAAAAAAAAAGGGTCGCTCCGGCCATTGTGGGTCGTAGACTGCTGCAGGTCGGCCGCACACTGTAGATCGGTCGGTCGCACGCTGCAGATCGCCCCCCGACCTCGATTGTGCACTCTCGTTGAGAACACAGCCGTTCCACAGAGAAACTTTTCTTTTTTTTCTCGAGGCGCAAGCCAAAAGAAAAATCTATTAAAAGAAAAAAAAAAAAAGACAGGACGGAAAAACGGTAACCGCCCAGGGACAGCTACTAGTGGGGGCTGCTCTTACCACCCACCACCCCCTAGTAGAGGTCGAAGGGTATTGTTACAAAAAAAAAAAAAAAAAAAAAAAAAACGGCGACCATCCCCTTTTTGTCTTCGTCGATCCCCCTTCTCTTCGATGACATGCGCCTTTTGTCTTCATCCTCTCGACAAACCTGGCCATTATTGTTGTCGTCAACAGAGCTTCGTCTCTTGTCTTTCCCTCGACTTATTATTGATATGTTACCCCAGGTTTCTTCCATATCTATCTATCTATCTATCTATCTATATAGACATACATTCATAGGGCCTGATCGGTACGGAAGTGGTATAGAAAATATAAATAGCTCTACATACAATGTATGAACTGCTCGTTCCTACAATCAGCATGCAAATGAGACGTTGTAGACATCCACAACGAGCATACATATATAATGGCCCTCGCTGCACTACTCTCGAAATGTGCAAAACGAGAGTGAATCTTCCGCTAGAATATGGACGGATACACGGCCATGATTTTTGTCTTTTGTGCATTTCAAGAGTAGTGCAGCGAGGCCCATTATATATACATACATAAGCCACAGCTTCTCGTTTGGTGTCTTCTTCTCCCTCTCTGCCTACGATTCACCGCTCAGTTCTCTATGTAAAACTGCCCCGTGAATTGTAGACGGAGAGGGAGAAGAGGACAATAAACGACAGGCTGTACGTATAAATGCCCGTTAATCGTAGGCAGAGAGGGAGAGAAGGTGACAACAAGCGAGAGGGCTGTCACGTATATATGCATATATTTACTCGTCGAGGACTTCTACAGCGTCTCATTTGCTTCTTTTTTTTTTGGGGGGGGGAGGAAAACAGTTTGAAAATGCACTTCAGGCAATCCCGCGAACACAACACACCCCCACGTGACCTCATCGGACCCGAAACCTAGGTTGTATACATTCAACATTACGGGCCCTTTTGCCTCAACAAGTGCATTTTCAAACTCAAACCCTGACTGCGCCATAGTTTTTTTTTTTTTTTTTTTTTTTTTTTTAAGACGTCAGCGTCAGCCTGCTAAAGGAAGTGATAAGAGCAGCTCCCCCTATAGCAGGCCTGTTGCCAGGTGCTCTGATCTATTGATGGGGTCTGTACCTCCGTTTGCTGAGTATATGTACTGCTATGGGACGCTGGACCCGGTTTACAGCAGGTCACGCTCCCCCCACCAATAATAGATCGTCTTAATTGCATACTGATTGTACGAATCTTTTTTTTTTTTTTTTTTTTTTTACTGATTGTACGAATCAATCAAGTTCATACATTGTATTAGTATGTACCAGATCAGGTCCTCTATACAGTGCCTTCTATAGATAGATACATCTATCTATAGTTAGATCTATATATAGTTAGATCTATCTATAGTTAGGTCTATTTATAGTTCCTATACCGCTTCCACACCGATCAGGTCCTATGACAGTGCCTTCTATTGCACTTCTGTTGCAATTCGATTGAAATCGCGCCTCCTGTATCACTACCGTCTTCACAAGAATAGAACGCCCTGTCCTTATAGCAGTGTGTGGTGCAGCTTGCAGTCCAGATAGAGAGATAATAATGACATGGCGTTCTATTCGGGTGACACATGGGCTTCTATGGTAAGTGAATTATCCCAAAAGGAAACTGCAGTTCATGCTAAAGCGAGCATGCATGCACAGTGAGCAGCATTGCGGCATTGCGGCATCGCGCGGGCAACCACCTTCTCGGACTTCTCCCCCCCCCCTCTCCCCACCAACATCACCTTCTTCATCCCCCGCTTCTGCGCGTTAATCATCTCTCGAGCATGGACATTCTCTAACTGCAGTTAAGTTTTTATTACCCATGTCGTCAACTTTAATTTTTGTACATTTTTCTCATATCAGTGGGAAGCCTTACGGAAAATCAGAGGCTAGAAATGCCACCTCCTTACCCTTCTCCTCCCTACCCTGTCAATTTTCTCCTCCTCGTTCTCCAGGCCTTCTTCCTCCCTCTTCCTCCTCTCCTTCTCCTCCGCGCCACACTTCCTCCTCCTTCTCCTCCCCGTCTCCCTGCTCCTCCTCCTCCTCCTCCTCCTCCTCTCCTCCTCTCCTCCTCTCTTCCTTTCTCCCCTCCTCCTCCTCCTCCTCCTCCTCCTCCTCCTCCTCCTCCTCCT